GCTGCAAAACTGCCAAAAGTTGCTTGTCTTCATGATAATCTGTGAGAGGACTGCCTGAAAGCTGTACATAAGTCCGCCATAATAGATAAATATTCGTTTGAGCTACGGTACTCTCGACCGAAAAACAGTGAAACAGATTAAATTTTCTAGATAACAAATCTGACAAGTTTACACAGGCACTGATAAAGGCACCAATCGATGGAAATCTCGACACAAGTTCAACTAAGCCGAGTGAAAGGGTAGTCCATTTTCACGAAGCATATATGCTCTAGGTGATCTTCTTACCTTTTGTTCGACATTGTGTTGTCTGCTTAAGTCTCTGTTTTAACCCTGGACGCTCACATCACTTCCTACATAAACAACTTAGCCCAAAATTTATCAAAAATCCCATTCTTTGGCTCCAGTCCCGAAATTCCGGAAGTGCACTTTTGGCATCTCAAATCTCGTTTTGTGGTCTCTATTCTCGCGAAGGTGTTTGACCCATTTTATATAAATTAGGTCAAAACACGCATGCTAGATTACAACGCAAAACGAAAACTTCTCTCTGTGTAATGATATTTATTAATACACCAATCGGAAATAAACAATTTAATATATCTCCCTAACCTTTTTATCAAACTGACCTGGCTGAAATCTTCATGAGGTCTAAGGTCACATGATCAAATGTGGACAAAATGGCGAGCATCTTACCCAGAGTTGAGCAGCTCTCTTCTCGGGTTGTGCGTCTCCTTGGGTGCAACCCTGGCCCTATGACGCTACAGGGAACGAATTCCTATCTTATCGGAACTGGTGAAAGGTAATACACTGTCAGTTAAAGCTGTCAGCGGTGGTGAGAACAGAGGTTGTCTTAAAATCGGGAGACGTGACTCCTGCCTGGTCCTGGGATGTTGTCTTGGAGTCTGACCAAGTTATAATTCTGTTTCTTATCCAAATTTGAAAATGTTTTGTGCATGCATATGCCGGATATAAGATTTGCTCCGTGATTCTAATGCACCATTCAGTGTCAGGTTCATTTACGAACTAAGGGGATAATAAATAAATTAATTTTAGGGAAGCAAAATATTTTGATAATTATATCAGGGGTAATCCTAGAGAGGGGTGAGAAACGTCCATTGTTCTCGTCAATGAGCCTGGCCAAATTCAGGGTATGTACGCACAGACAGAAAACCATGTATTGTGGGAACATTACTAATGAAGCCACTGGTAGTACTAGTAGATATCAGTGTGTAGTCTTGAACAAGCACCTCGTTGACGAGTGAACAGTTGTCCAAAACAAAAGACCCAGGTGTGGCAGTTCAACTACTGTTCATGCGTGCCGCAAAGACCAAGTCTAATTGCCCCTCAAGGTCACAAACCAATATCCGGTACTGACGGTTAGGCTCATCATAATCATTTTAGTAGCGCGTTTCCACCCCCTGATTATATTGTTACCCAGAACATTGATAGAATGCTAGGTAATGCTATCGACAAGCAAGGCAAACATTTTTTCACCTTAGCCCTACGAATACAGTGTACCTCCTCCTTCAGTACCAGGTACCTCCCCCAACCCCTTGACAAAATTTTTGCACCATGTTTCTTCTGTATTTTGGCTGTAACTTTACAACATTATGGGCTGATTATTATAGGGTTAGGATTCTGAGTACAAGTATTGGTAGCTTTCAAACAACATGTTCAGGGTTCATGTGAAAGACTGTTTTATCATCGTCATAATAATAATAATAATAATAATTATTATTATTATTATTATTATTATTATTATTATTCCAGGAGGATCTTACTGGACACCAGTAACCCAAACCACCCAGAATACCTCCAGAACTTAAAGACAGTGCTACGTGATCAGAAGACTGGCATACAGGAGATCCTGCTGACCCACTGGCATCTGGATCATGTCGGGGCAGTCCCAGAAATATGCCAAGACTTGACTGACTGTAAGGAACATTATTTATTTATTTATTTATTGTTCCAGGGAACCTCTGGAGATGCACTTTTTTATGTGGGAGGGAGAGGTTGAAGATAGGAGGGAGCACACAAGAAGCGGGCCATTTTTCTGTAAATTAATTTTTGTGTGAGAGGAGGAGGGGGATCAGGGAGGAAGAAAGGGGAATTTTATTTTCGTTGAGGAATACAGCTTAAATATCAGGTAAAGTGATACACTTCAGATGTAAATGTTGAATTGAAACAAAAAAGGTATTATTTTCAGTCTTTGGTAATCAGTTTCAAATGATGAGCCAAGAAAGACATTTTATTTTGTTTTCAGTGCTGAAACAGCTGACCACTCCAATGGCTGGATTTATCCGATTCATCGGATGGAAACAGTGAAAATATTGAAATAAAAAGAAGACACAAAAGAAAAAAAGTGGAAAAAAAAGGCCATTGTACATAATTTTAAAACTTTTGCCACCAGGCCTAGAGTACAACTTTTATTGTTTTTTTTTTCACATTTTTCTGAAGCTCCTGAACCTACCAGTGCTCTTTCCACTTACTTGCAGTTCCAGATTGTGTGAACTTGTGAACTTGTATTACAGCTTGCATAAGTTGACCCATTTCCACTTAAGCTGCAATCCTGTGCATTTCACAACCCAGTTGAATGGAATATTGTAAAATATGATGAGATATACAAAATATGTTTTCTTTAAAATATCTATTGATTTTGCATATATGTCAAATTGAACTTCAGATTTAATGATTATAATTAATCAGTTGATGATCAGAAATGTTTTTCAGAAATGACTTTTAGACCTGAAATTTACCAAACCTGAAGTAGACTAAGTATTTTCTTCTGCCATAAAATCTTTTTATTGTTAATTAGTTTTATAATCATGTTGATTTTATATTTTTAAAAAATTGTATTTGTGCTCAGTAGTTTATTATAAAATAAAATGAAATTTATGAAAATATGTTTCTGGTTGAGTTACTAGATTTTGGACTCGCTTTTCCCTCATAATCGACAACAAATAACCTGATATCCTTGTTAAACACAACCAAACAGCTTTAAAATATATGAATCTGGGCCAAAAAGGGCCAAAACTGGAATCGGACATCGACAAGTGTTTGCTATAGAGGACTGACCAGTAAATAATCAAGAAAGTGTAGATGTGGATCTTCATGTTACATGTGACCAAAGCACAGGATGTTATTATTGGTCCATTTGGGGGGGGGGGGTTCTCCTTTTGCTCCTTTATTGTGAAAAAAAGATTATTTGAATTTTTTTTTTTTTTATGAAGTACCACGTCTGCAAATAAATAAAGGTGAGGTGCCAGATATGCACACACCCTCAGTCAAAAAAATGCTATATCAGTAATTTTATCATTGTATGTTTTAAACTAAAATCTGTTTACAGCGTCAGACATGCCAATCTCCAAATACCAAAGAATCAGCACTGAAGATGCCCCACTGGGAGATGGACTGAAGTACAGCTTTATAGAAGATGGGAAGGTGTTTAAGACAGAAGGTGGAACGCTAAGGTGAGTCATTGTGCTTGGTGTGACAGAATGTGTTAGGTGTGACATTGTGTTGGATGACATCATGTGGTACATTATGTCTGGTGTGATGTGTTGGATGTGACTGTGTGTTAGTTGTGACATATTGCTTTAAGCGTGATACATTGCGTTCAGTGAATTAGGTCTGAAATTTTGGGATAGGTTCCAAAGTACTTTCCTATTAGCTGAAAAGGGTCTCCTCCATATCAAAATCTGATGCATAGGTTTCTATGCCAGCTCTCAAGTTGGGTAAGTTAAGGGGGTAAAGAGGTCCCCTTTTTTTTCAGAAAAAGACCTTCACCCACCCACCTTTAAAATTGCAGGCTACATTCTGTAGATTCACTTATTGTATTTTTTATTATCTCATTCCAGGGCTGTGTACACACCTGGGCACACAGATGATCACCTGAGTTTTTACCTGGAGGAAGAAAATGCCTTGTTTTCTGGAGATTGTATTCTAGGACAAGGAACTGCTGTAGGTTAAATAATAATAATAATAATAATAGTTGTAATATTTTATTATTAGTATTATTATGAGAAAGATGGTTTAAATGATACCCTTTAGTGCAAAAAAACTTTGATGGAGCTTACTTGGTGTAAATTCTGTTTTGATCATTCAAGTACTAGTATGTTAAATGGGCTTGTTTCATGTAATATTTTGAATCAAAATGTGTAAAATCATATTGGTCAACTTGCCAGCATATATATATATATATATATATATATATATATATATATATATATATATATATATATATATATATATATATATATGGGAGCACATTATTTTCTTCAAGTCTTCCACTTCTTGTTGCGTGAATGCTAGACTGTCTGTGAGGTCAGTTATCTTCACTAGCAGTTCTTGAAGCATGTTTTTTTTTTGCTTCTGCCGTGTTTGTGATGTAGTCTATTCGTTCAAGTTTTTGACCTATCAATTTTAGTATAAAAGCGAAGTTTTCTTCTGTATTACATATCGGCGCAGGACTTTCTTCGTCACTGTCCACGCGTTCGTTCCCTTTTGGGGACTCTGATATTCTGATTTTTCTTGGCTACTTCATCAATTAAAAGTTTTGGAGAGGGGGTGGATTGTTGTCTTTGTCTTTTCTCCGTTGTCGTAGGAGTGCTTACTAATGTCTTGTGCAATTTCGAGGAGTTTTGCTTTTTTTTTGACAGATTTTGACTGATTGACATTTTCTGCACTTTTAGATCACTTGTTTTGCTCACTCAGTTGCATCGATGAAAGTTCATACCTTTAGTTATCGGGTTTTTACTTGAGATTTTCAAGATCGTCAAATTTTTATGTACAGACACAGGTGTGTCTGTACATATTGCCATCATCTGCGTCTGTCGTTGCCGATGCCAATGCCGATGGCGATGCCGTCACCGTGCACTTTCACTGTTAACACGATAAGTGGAACACAGTTTTACTTTTTGGTTTTATATTTACAGAGCTGATGAATATTCATAAAACGCAGGTCAAGTTCGAAAATCAGCATGATCGAGCCATTATTGTAGAAGTTATGCTGTTTTATCACTTTTCAGCATATATGCAACCCTGTAAACACATTTTAAGGAAAACCGTTAGGCCTGTTGTCATGAAATTCACAGGAGTAATCGATCTTACTAAAACGCAGATCAAATTCGAAAATCAGCATGATCGGGCCACTATTTTAGTAGTTATGCTGTTTTTTCATTTTTCAGCATATATGCAACACTGTAAACACAATATAAGAAAAACAGATGGGCCAATTGTCATGAAAGTCACAGGAGGGGTCAATTTTACTAAAATGCAGGTTGAGTTCGTAAATCAGCATAATCGGGCCATTATTTTAGAAGTTATGCTGTCTTGTTTCACATTTCCTCAGATTCAATTCTTAGGCATGTTAACAGTCTCATTATTAAACTAATAAGATACGTAAAAGTGTTTGTTTGACATTTCCTGCATCTTTACAACGTTATTAGTTGATTATGTAAAAATGATGGTAAACTTTTTATCGTGTATTGTGTAATGAAGTGTCAAAAATGGAAATAAACTCATATCATTGCAGTTTGTCAGATTCAATCATCCACTATGTTCAGAATCTCAGAATGGAGGAAATTGGACATTTAACACTGTTCTATTGATATTTTTCCAATCTCATCAATTTTCTTAGTTGATCATATAAAAATGGCAGTAAACTGTTTATTTTGTTTTCTGTTTAAAAAGTGTTAAAAATGGAAATAAACCCATTTCAGAACAGTGCTGTCTTGTTAAAATTTAATGTTGAATTTGCAGTTTAACATTATGTACTTTTGCATCAGAATTGGCAGTAGCCTATTTTGTGCATAGTTATTTCCTGCTTTTTGGCTGTACATTTGACAGCTTTGCTGCCTTGTTACTTGAGATTTTCAAGATCGTCAAATTTTCTTGTCCTCCTCAGCCGCGCATGTGCATTCCCCCCTACTTTCACAGTTTTAGTTATAATGATAATAATAATAATAATGATAATAATGATGATGATGATGATGATGATGATAAAAATAATGATAATAGTAATGATCATAATACATTGTTCTTGTTATATAGAATTAAATTAATGATTTCATAGATGAAATGATGAATACAAATGGTACATGACACAAAGAACTAATGAGAAAAAAAGTTATAAATGATACAAGCATACTCATGTTCATGGTTGAATTTCTAGGTTTTTGAAGACTTCTACACGTACATGAAATCTTTGGAGTTAATGCTGAAGATGAAACCCACCATTATTTATCCCGGCCATGGGCCTGTCATCACCAACCCTGTAGAGAAGATTAACGAGTATATCGCACACAGAATGCTGAGAGAGCAACAAATTTTGGAAGTTTTTGAAAAGCACAAAGGGGTCTTCATGTCTTGTATGGACCTAGTAAAGATTATCTATACAGTGAGTGAAAATGTTGGGTTTGATTTTATAAAATTAGTTAAATATTTAAATGCAGTAAAATGGTGTCCATTTAATTTTGTGTTTATTGGAAATGTATGATAATTAAGTGTTAGTTTTATGCAACTGTGTAACATATTTGGTTTACTTATTTAAAGAATTGATGCTTTTTACGTAATTGACAACTTTTGCAAATCTATTTTTAGTGAAGGTGAAGTGATGGTTTAAACCTAAACATGTACCATATTTTTAAGTTGAATAATTCCATTTATATTTTGATCTTTTATTGACACATTTAAATGAACACTGACACAAGTACATGTATATAACCTTGACAATTTACTTGACAAGTTGTTTTGCTTCATGGTTTTTAATAATGTTGAATTCAGTAGGGGGGTCATATAACTTGTCACTCAGAGGTGTGGTCAATATTTAATATATTTCAGGAGACACCTGAACATCTCCATCATAAAGCTGCCGACAATGTCTGCCACCATCTTGAAAAACTGCTCAAAGAAAATAGAGTTGGTAAGTTGATAACATGGATACGATTCAAAACGTATCAGTTTGACTTTAAAACTTATTATATAATAAATCTCCTCATTCAGAACAGGTCTGACCTTAAAAAAAAAAGATATCTTTTAAGACTTATATAAGATTGTATTTTACCTGAGAAGCATGACATATTTTACCGTGAGAAACAATTATGATAAATACCATTTCATACTTTAAAGGGATAATATAACTCTTCATATGAGATCTATATTTCACAATAAAAACATTGTGAACAACTCATAGAAATATAATATATTCTGTTGTACAAGAAAAACAACAGTTATAGCTATTATTCTGATATCTGATCTTGTCTTAAGACCTCGTGACCTCCATTGATAGCTATACTATGTTATAATCTCTTAAGAGATTATAACAAAAAAAAAACTTTTTAGAAAAAAAACCGGGACTAACTTTGAATGTAAAAATGGATTCATTAACCATTGGTAAGTACGGGAAAGTTGTTGTTTACTCCAGGAAAATTCATTTATTTGCCAAAACGAAGAGTTATTATCCCTTTAACAGTTTTGTTGATTACTTAAATACAAATTATTATAAGGAAAAATTTCCAAAATACTGAAAATAACGAACTTTGAATTTTAAACTTTTAGTATAAGGTTGCTTAAAGGGTAGGCATTGCATGGGTTGCAGTCCTTTAACTCTCAAAATGAATTTTTCTGGTCCTTGGATATCTTGATTTATTGTTACATTATTATGTAATAGTGGTTGTCTTTCATTGGTGAATTAAATCATAAGATTCAGCTGTGTAGGTTCATGGATACGCCACAACTTGTATTAAGATCAACAAGATTTTTTTTTATTTTGTTCATGTAACAGCATCTTATTTATTGTATTTATTGCATTTGATTACATGATTTTTTGTTTGTTTATAGAACATGGAGTTGAAGAGGAAGGGAGGAACATGTGGAGGCTGAAATGTTCTTTATAGACTGCCAAGAATTCCAAATAAATACAGTCTGTGTCAAGAGTCAATCATGACGAAATAGTCGGTCCCACCAGTCAAAATTTTAAGGACTGGTAGAAAATTGTGTTTAGTCCGTCCAAGAGACTGACGACAGTTATAAGAGCTGCTGTATTGAACTTGCTGTCTGTCTGTCTGTCTGTCTGTCAAGAAGTAATTCATTATGGCAATTTTTTCCCCATAATTTATAATTGCTGGTCCTAAAGTGACTTTTGGCATATCTATAAGCTATCAGTCTGGGGCTGTTGACTAATTAATTTACTGTTTAAAAAATTGGATTTTAATGAAGTTTTTACTCCATTTGGACCTCTGGAAATATTAGACATTCTTCTAGATTATTTTTCCTTACAGTGTAGTTTTCTTCTAAGAACTCGTTAGATTTGACTCAGACATCAGTAGTTTTCTCTGGCCTTCCAGTTTTAGTGACAATTGTGCTGTGAAGTGAAAGACACAGGCTTTGACTCTTTGGATATTTTGCAAATAGAGGCGAACATTTGTGATGGATTGTTTAGTTTAACTGACAGCATTAAAATTTTTTGGTGCCATATTGTTTCTAATTATATTTAAACTCTTTTTCAGCAACTCAATGAAATTTGATTAAAAAATAACTTATTTTTACTTTGGTTAAACTTATTTACAAGTGATGTTCTGTATATTTTATATGAGAGCTAGCCAGAAAAATGTTTTGATAAAGAGTTATAACCCAGTGGAAAAAACAGCTACTGTTCTATATGCTTATTTCTAATTAGTCATTTTAAGATGGTCTGCCAAGTATATTTGTATCCTACATTTCGTTAGTGTACAACACTTGCCATTGGTTTGAAGCAAATTACTAATATGTTTGTTATCAGATCAGCAATATTAGATAATTAAAAAAAAGATTTAACTGGCCCAGTAATGTAATTTTGAACATAAAATGGGTAAAAAGTAGTTAAGTAGTGGTTAATTAGTAAGATGTTATCAATTTTAAGTTACTATAAAAGATTACAGAAATACATATCTTTTTCTGTCTTGGACACCGTAAACCTTTTTGTTAATGATAAATAATCTGTAATTCCCAAGTCCACAATAAGTTTATATTCTTTTCCTATATGGGAATGATTAGAAAATTTGATTTTCATCAGTTCTCTAACTTAACATATATCTTAATCATAAGGGTACAGTGTTTACAGTGGTTTCATATTGTATTTAGAATAATCATCTGTGATAGTTTGTTTCATTGTAATATTTTATACAGCATTACACAATGTTAAATAATTGTTGATTATTCAGGTTGTTGCTAATTCAAACATGATCGCTCTCCATTGTGAGGTGTTAATATAATATGAATTCCTTATTTGTACATGGCATTTTATTTTATGATATTTTTTATTTAAGTCATAATAACAGAACTATAAAAAATGTACTTTGTTGAGTATCTGCTATGTCAAATTATGCAATATTTTATAACCAGCATTATAATCATCAATAATTGTTTTAGTTATAAATTCAGCCAGTCTTAGCACGGAACCATTAGATAAATTATTATATAAATTAAGTCTGCATTTGTTTTGATGCAAAAACTAATGTTATGTGTTTGCAGATGCTTTTAAGTAATTTGTGACTTATGACTGGATTGTTAGTAAAAATATTTAATAAGTTAATAAATTGTAGGTGAACTAGTCAAGGTTTATCTCTGTACGCTTTCACAATTACTACTACACAAATAATGTTAAGTTATTGCAGTGATTATTTCCTGAATGTTGATTTGTTCCAAATATTCATTGACGATATAACGAAAACAATACTACTCAATAAAGCATTATTTTAACCATTTTATTCCTGTATATATGTACAGTTCAATATTAACAGTATGTGCAGTTCATAACGTATGGTAAATAAGTATTATATATATAAAAAAGATAAATGTTATGCTAATGACCTGTCTCCAAAATATATAATGCATATTAATAACATACGTCAGTGATAATATCACTTGTAAATATTGCAATATCTTTTAAATCAATAACAACTGTTTTTCAATTAAATTGACAAACTGATTATTATGTGATTATTGAGTTTAAATACAAATGGTTAAATATATCACCAAAGTATTTCACTATCCATGACCAATTATGATCCACAAAGCCCTAAAGTTCTCCGTCTTTCTTTTATGAGAGTGACTAGAAAACTAGTACTAAGAACTGGATTTTAGAGTCAAAGGGGCCATTCAGAAAAGATGATCAGAGTACTAACTGATCCGCCGACTAAATATGGCGGACCCCAGTTCAAAAGCGATACATGATTATCTCCCCGCCTCTACACACGGGGTCTAGTATTTAAAGCTCAGAGCCAAGATTTAATCCATTTAATGGCATATGTGGAGGGGGGGAGACCATTGAGAATCAGCGGCATCACTTTTGAAGTGGGCTCGGCCATATTTTGTTGGCGGATCAGTTAGTACTCGGATCATCTATTCTGAATGGCACCTATCTCTAATGAGGTGAGTCAACTAGAACTGAAAACTGGATTTATCAGTCGAAGCTTCAATGAGCAGTATGGGTGTGGTATACCTTGGTACTTGAGGGAATCATGGAATGCGGATTGCTCAGTTTGTTCATCTTTTACTGGAAGTCAATGCGGCATATCACCTCAGTGGTTCTATGACATAGAGAGGCCATTTTGTCTTTATGTCATCAGGTCGTCTGCTGGTGAAAATATAACCCTGTTTCCACAACATAAAGAAGGCCTTCATCCTGAGTGTAACTTAAGATGCCTATTCCTGATAAAAAATCTTGATGAAACTCCCCCCCCCCCCCACAAAAAAAAAAAAAAAAAAATTGCACGGGTCATTCTCTTGTGCCAACTGAGTTCCATTAGAGTCATGATGTTGCCTAATAAAATTTTGATCAATCCAAAGAAAATGCATGTCATCTAATCCGAGTTCACTTCAGTCTGTCTGGATCTCATCAAAAAACTTGATGAAACCAAAAAAATGTGTGTCATTTAAGCTAAGTTTAGTCAGAGTCAGGGTCTTGACACTGCGAGCAGTCGTCCATGTCGTCTTGGTACGCCTCCACCTGTACCGTGGGCTCCTGTATGCCCATCTGCTGTATCAGCAATGATGACTGACGCAGGACAGTCTCATAGTCAGTTTGTTTTAAATCTGAAAAAAAAAAAATTTAAAAAATGAAAGAAGATGCACAGTTTAAAATTGCAATTTTTGGTTAAATATCTTGGAGGTTAATTGGTGTAACTGCTGAATAGGAAGAATTTATAAATATGAAAATAAATGGAAGCAGTAGATATACTGTAACTTTATTTCTTTAGAGTTTGTCCAACTTTAAATAAAAGCAGAATATATCTTTATTAAAAGACTGACACAGCTCACATAGTCTTCTTCTTTGAGATGTAAAAATAATTGAAAAAGAAGATACTCTGTTATAATTTTAATGTGCTTGTATTTTATTTCAAACTGATCAAAATTTAAGGATGAAAAATGCCAAAGAGGCACTAATCTAGAATCAAAAGGAAGCGGCAAACATACTGTAAAATATTCCTTTTTATTCAAAGTTGTTAAGAATCTTTGAACCTTAATTTGTGAACTTGCCAAAGTGGTATACAAATTTTTTTTCTGATCAAATTCCAATTTGTAGGTTACTTTCTTATTGCCAGTACTAAGTGTCTATTACCTATAGCTATATGAACTGCTAGGGCAAGCTTTGATGTAGTTAGGGACCATATTCGTAGATTATGCACCTCCCTGGCTCCGGGGATTTCTAGAAAACTCTGCTTTACAGCCTTGAAGTCAATATTTCTTGGAGTTGCTGGAAAAGTGAAAAATCCTGCAATAGTTATATTTTGTTATTTTTTCATATCATGGACACATATTTCTTTGTCAAATTTTTAATGATTTGTTGACTTACAAGACTTATTGGATCTTTAAGAGAGAAACCTTAGGTATTATTTCGACAAAGCATAAACCTCACAAAACTTCTGCATACATGGAAAAAGCTGAGTTGATACAATCAAAGCTTACCAACTTTCACCTAAAACATCCCATTTACAAAGCATCACACCTAACACATTCTAATTACAATGCCTCACACCTTACACATGACTGCTCAGTAAACCATTTTAACACGGAGAAAGTCTTGTATTTACAATAATTAATATTTTCTCTGACATGTTGAAGAAAATAAATAATTTGTAACAAAAAAAAACTTTGAATCAAAAATTTTTTAATAAAATGGTTTAAAGCCCATAGAATAAGAAAAGGATGAAGCTGAGCTGGTGTATAGCCTCCACTAACCTTCCATTAAAACATACACTGCATCTTTCATCACTGATATAGTAGTGAACAAAACCAGAACTGAAAACAGGAAAGTGCAAATGGGATCTGCTATCTTCCATTCAGGCTGGAAATAAAAAAATTTAAAAAACTAGAAAAGCACTCTGAGAGAGCAGTTTTTTATTACTATTATTGAATGATTATTGATCAGGATCACCACCAAAAACTAATCATCTGTTCCGTAGCCCACTTCTGACAGTTCCTGAAAATTTTATCAAAATCGATTCATAACTTTTTGAGTTATGTTGATGACAGACAAACAAACAGGGGTGAAAACATAACCTCCTTGGCGGAGGTAAAAAGAATAGAACGTAAGACACTGTGATCATTGCCACAAAAAATAAACAATTAAAACTAAATAAATATGAACCTAACAACTGAAATCCTAAATTGGGAAAATTTCAAACTTGCTTCATAGTCAACCGAACAATATACTACCTTAAAATATATAATATAAGAAGCTATCAAAACACCAATGCTCTGCAGAAGGTCTCCGAGGACATGTATAAATGCTGCTCTGACGTTAATATTTTCATCATGTGTGTGACTGTGTTGACTCCTATATTCAACTGGCGAGTTGGACAAATCAGACTCCGAGTCACCATCATTGATGCTATGGCTATGGTTGGTGTGCACATGTGACAAGGATTCCGTGGAAGAGTGCGAGTGTGACATGCCGCCATGACTGTGTCCATGTCCACCTAGTGTTAATCCCAGACTAGAAAAAAAAAGAAGTCTCTGGTTTAAACTTTTTAGACCATTCACTCTAACAGACCTTCTAGTGCAACGCAAAATCAAATATTCCAATAATGAAATCTAAAGAGAATTGTAAAATAGGCTAAAACTGCTACCAAAAAATTCTATTGGTCTGTTAGTCCACATAATATATGATGTCAATCAAAATAAATATGATCCATACATCATTTTCTATTAAAATCTGTTGTCTTGATTGCCAAATCAAGGTAAAACTATAATTAGTTTCATTTAACATTTTGTATCTAATAATGCCATGCAAAACCATCACAGTTTTGACACAACCAATTTGCCCCGTCCACCAGCTTATGACCTACATCAAGTTGACTGCCACGCCCACTCCTGCTGTGATCAACATGACCTTGGCATCTATATCGTAGTCCTCATGGATACACCTCTGAATGGCCAGGTATACCAGTACTCCTGTTACTATCCATATCATCAGCACTGATACAACAGCCCCCATCACCTCTGGAAATAGGTCAAGTTATGCAAATAGGTCACTCATGTTATAAGGTCAAATATGAATTCGAAATGGGTCATGTTATGGAAATAAGTCGATCATAGAATACTGTCAAATGTGAAAATATGTGAAGTTGCAGAAATGTCAAGATTTATAAGCTTGAAAATCCTCGGGGTCAAGCGTAAAAAAAATGATCCAAACATTTATTATTAAGATCTGTTGTCTTGCCAAATCACGTAAAAAGATTTTTAAAAAAGGTCATAAAATTAAGTCAAGTTATCAAACTCGGTCAACTACAAAATAGTCAAACATGAAAAAAAAACTAATCCTGTCTTCATATGAATGGTAAAAATTGAGAGAAATTCAAACTTCTCTTAAAGAGAAATTTGTTTTTCAAGAGAGAAAGAGAATAATATTGAATAAAGCTAGTATTACCTGCTCTATACCATCCGAAACTCATCTTTTTGGTCGCAGGACGAGATGAAATGTACAACGCAAACAAACTGATCATGAAGCTGGCGAAGTCCGTCATCATGTGGGAGGCGTCAGTCATGATAGCAAGACTACCAGCTAGAGCGCCACCTATGGAGAGAATAATTCTTTAGACCTCTGACAAGGTAAAAAGGCAATATATTTTTTTTAAATATTAGGAGGCCTGGATTCAGCTGAAATTCTAATCACTTCTTTCCCCCTTAAAGAACAGTCATTGCAAAAAAAAAAAAAATCAAAATTTGCAAAGAACAATTTGATATAAACAGATAAATAAATGCAGAGGAAAACATTATATCTTTGAAGGTGGAGGTAAAAATAATTTCACATCCACAACACTCATAAAACATTTTGTTTATTTACCAGAATACTAATGAGCTCTCAAATCAAAAAATTTCAACATATACTTGAATCAGACACTTTATTTTCAGGTCAACATCTTTCTTTGCTTTTTTTTCTTCTTACTTCTTGTACATGTTAATTTCTCATCAACCATTTGAAATACATAGGATCAAATGAGATTACAGGAAATCACGCAGTTCCTTCATTTTCAATTTTTTCATCATATTTGTCTTTCCTTCTTCTTTTCCAACCCTAAAGCTTAGGGCATTAAAATCTCACCCACAACTTCTCCAATGGTAAAAGCGAGACACAGCACGCTTGCCATAATTAGCTTTCTTCGCGCCCTACGATCCACCTCATTGGCCGTTCTGAACTTGTTATGGCAGTGGCTTCCTATAAAATAAGGAATGGAAAACAAACTTGTTATCCCAATAGCAGTGCACTAACATAACATGGCATGGAAAATCAACCATGTACTTAAAATAACAGAAAGATAATTAAATTAATAGAATAATATAAACTGATAAATAAATGGATAGATTTCAGTTAAATAATAAGAAGGCAATGTTTAGTAAATAATGAACACAGGCAAATAACTCCTGTAATCTGTATATTATTTATATCTACACCACAACAAAAAGACACCTTCCACATATGTAGTTCTAAAAATTTGAAAAGGATAAGTTTGTAACAGTGGTACTTAGCAAAAAGATTTTTGACTTTTAGAGCAAACCAATTTTACTTAAGAGTGAGCAACAGATGCAGTTGCTCAATATCTATTTATGACAAATTCAAAAGAAAGAAAGCTTGAGTGGCACAAATTCATTTCAAATTATTACTTGACTCTTATCAAAGCTTGAGTGGCACAAAAACTAAAAAAAATTTAAGTTGAAATGTAATGTCAAGCTATGTTTGTAAGATATTTTCCCATGAAAACTATTATAGCTACAAAGAAATAAAATTAAGTTTATTAACCCTCTTTAACCAATCCATGGAAAATGCAAATCCCAAATGTTTCTGGAAAGCGGTTAAAGATTTAAATATGGAGTCTACACATTTAAAAAAAATTGCGAATTGGAGGAAACAAACATGCTGGATAAGCCCCAGAAAATGTGTGGGACTCAGTCTTTATGTACATGTTAATATGAAGTTAAATGAACAAGGGGGCATTATTTATTTATTGGCTGCAGGCCCGCCTAGATGCAATTTACCAGAACAGAGTAACATCAAACGATTCATAGTAAACAAGGCCATAAAGAAGTACTAGTAATATTTTAAGGTTAATCATAGAATTAGACCATAAAAATAATACTAAAAATGAATCATAAAAAGACAACAGAGTAAAATCAAAACTTTATATCACAATTTCAACATAAAATAGTTTTTAAATAGTAAAAGCAGAAAGTTAATAAAAAATAAATGCCCTTAAAAAACACCAAAAAATTAATCATAAAATAAAAAGAGAGAGAAAGGTCACATATTTTATAAACGATACTTTTAAGGTCTTAACTGTGTGATTTCAGAGAGTTAAAAATTAAAAAAGCCTTCAAGCTTATCATCAAAAAGTTAATCATAAAACATTAAAAGAGTAAAATTAATATCAAATAGTCCATCATAAAATAAGTCCCAAATGGAGTAATAACAAAAAGTTAATCATTCACAAAAATGTGCAGACTGCATTTACTGACAACAATCTGTTTTGCTTCATTTTATTTGGGGAAAATATTGTACGTACTACAGCATGCGAAGCAACTAATCCTGCTAATACATCTAGCGTAGAATGCAATATGCATCTTTGAGAGCGAAATGTGTTCACTGACAGAACTGGTCACCTAACAATACAATACCGGAGAAAGGAATAATAGTACAAATAATAATAATAATAAAAATGATCTATTTAACACTAATACTTTAAGTTATATTGAGACCTGTTGTGAAGTTTTTTTTTTTTTTTTTTGAAGCACTGCAAAATATTTTTTTGTAAAATGAAAAAGAGACTTTTGATAATTTGTTATCAATGTGTCAATGACTTCCTGTAAATATAATGGCAACATTTTTATTTTTGTGCAAGAATAACTTTTACTGCTTGTAGTACACTAGTACACTTTATTTTTTATCAAGCTAGTATTCATTAAAAAAATGTGACATCAAAAATAAATTGTTTGGTTTAAACATATCAAGAAAAAACTTGTACTTTTAGACCTAAGTAGTCTAATAATTCACAAATAATTTTATCACAACCCAAACACATGTCCATATACATATCCAAACAAATTAAAATAATTCAATAATTTATATTCAGCTTTTTATGCTAATCATCTTATATTCCACTTCAGATATTCATATAATATTCAATGTAGGGGGTCATGACTTCACATTAAAATATTTATGGCCCCCTTTCCAACGGACACTTTCAGTCTAAGGGTGCATTCCCAGAGATTTAGATCAACCTAACTCCCTGGGGGTTCACGCTAAATTGCAGTCAGCAAGCGTGCACGACAGTTAATTACCCCCTAGCAGCTTTTAGTAGGTGGGACAGACGCTTAAGGATGTAGATAACAGGGGTAGCTATCTTCTAAACCGGCCAAGATATACCAACATGTTACATATCAATAGAAAGCTTATTTCAACAGCTCTTCATTTCATATCCTTATTTTATTATGTAATCGTTACGTAATGAGATATAATGCTTAATAGGTGTGATCAACATGATCTTTACACCTTAAAAACTAGAAGTCCACTACAAATGGACATGTGTAGACAGCTTGACTCGTGAGCCCTCATAGGGATCAACAAGAATGCGCCTCAAATTAGCGATATGTGTTAAATTAGCAGAGATATCAAAATAAACTTGGTTTCCAGTTCAACGAGACCCCCTAGCCTAACTAAAGCATGCCTAAGTTGAAAACGGAGCTGATGTTATGAAATCCCAGACACATACTTTCAGACAAACCTTAGATCTAACAAATGAATACCAGCTTTCATCGGTTGAGAGTTCTAATTAATTTTGACACTGGTCTATATCGTTCTCTTGAAGCCATAAACTGAAGCGGAGAAATCAGCCTTTTAGTGCTCCCCGGAGATTCCAACGTTATATAATCAGTGAGCTGCATTGGCAAGCTGAGAAATTTAGTTATTTATACTGGTTCAGCCCTCTACTCACTGCCTATGTAACTGTCACTATGTCTTTCATCCATTTTCAACATTATTATTGAACATTTTCAACCGGAGGCCCCCTCCATGCATTGACAGCAGCCACCATGTTAGTCGTGACGTCAGCCTTCTTCACCACGTGACACCTAGGGGGAGTGCCTTTGCCCATATACGTCTCATCTATATGTCTGCTTTTTAAAGCTTTAATAGATCGTCAGAATTAAGTTCACTGATAAATTCAAAATGAAAAGTATTGTTTGGCAAGTGAAAGCGCGACGTTACTCACAGAATGTGAAAGGTTAGCAGCAATCTAGTACGGGAAATATACAGCTGCACAGTGGAGCTGCCAATCAAACACATATATGGACAAGTGTGACCTACTTTAAAACTCAGACACGCTACCACAGGGGTAAATCAGCAATTAGGCTAAAATTACGGGTTTATTTGTAAACTTCCATTATTTTAAGATAGGCTGATATGTAGTTGATATTTCATCTATCTAATACTGACAAATTCAGAAAAACACCCAAATTTTGACAATTTACTGTTATCTACATCCTTAAGCCGGCTAAGCTGACAGTAATCTAGTGAGACTCCCCACTGGGATAGATGGATCTAAAATCTATGGGAATGGGGTCTTAGTGAATCCACCCATCTCTGTCAGTGGATCAGTTAGTCCTCAGATCATCTGTTCTAAATACGCTATTAATAAATAAATAAAGATAATTCTTACCCTTGGCCTGAGGAGGCATCTCTGGCTCTGTAGGAATTTGCTGGTACGGCGCCCCATAGTTCCTAGCATGATGAAAAATCAGCGTTAAATTTTACAGATATTGAATTAAGGATAGTAGGAGTGGATGTAAAGAGAAAGACACCAGATTGAAATGAACAGAAGTCATTAAATATGAAAATCGAGGTGCTGAATGTGTGTATATGTATGAGGTATGTTAAACAGTATATTTCTCAGAGAGATACAGAGAGAGAGAGAGATAGTCTGGCAGCCAGACATGTATTTTGCTTATTTTCATGTTATATCTTCACCATCAAACACACTTATCAATTATGTGTGTGGGCAACACTATATTATCACAAAGACTATACAATAAAACAGCACAGATGTGTCTTTTAAATCACCACCTTCCTCCGTTAACCAGCATGCCTGGCTATATCATTATAATCATGATGTTTGTGTTAGAAAACTCGCCTAATGAGGTAATTATATCAGTAATAATTTATAACATGAGGACCTTTTCTGAAGGATTTACAGACCAAATCTGTCTCACAAAAGTTCAGAAAATTTGGGGGTTTGTTCATGTAGCTTCTGTCAATAAATTTTACCTTTCTACTACCTATCTTATATGTAATTTTAAATAAATAAATAAATAAATAAATAAATAAATAACCTTTTAAACATTTTTAGCCCTTTTTACTAAGAATATCTTGGCCCAAATCATGGAGCAAACACAGAAACTGAACAGAAATAAAATTTTACTGTGCCCTCTTTCATTTCACTGGCATATGGCTAATGGGTAGAGGCGAAGTAAATTTTCCATAATATTTCAACACTTTTTCTTCAATCACTAAGATGTACGTATAGACATACCCAACAACTTGAAATAAACTTAATTACAATCTATGAACCTGTTTTTGAGTTCTAATTTTCTCGCTTAATTACTGTCAAAAGTGAAATTCCTCAGACTCTATATTACTCCACTATAATACATAACCTGCATAAACATTACGTTTTTGAGACACTACGACCACGTTGACTGCACAAAACGTACCCCAGCAATATGTTACAATGAGCTGAACTTTTTTGCCACTGAATATTATGTCTATGTTACGTGAATGTTTTCATATTCTATTGGATGTCCTAAGTTTCAATGAAGACAACAGCATCTCCTGGTCTCTCTGACATCTAATCATACTTCTACAATCTAAAATATCTTGTAAGTCAAGTACAAGTATTATATATATATATATATATATATACTAATATACATTACCTGAACAGAGCGTCTAATTTCTTTAGTTAAGAGACATCACAGATAAATATCCCCATCCTATGACAAAACTTACACCCACAGTATCAATACAAACTGAACATAATCTCCACATATTTAAACTAAGAATAATACCTACTTCAAATAGACAGTAACTGCCTCCGCTCTGTTGCAATTCATACAAAAGCAGCAGTGGAGAGAGAGAGAGAGAGACAAATCTGATCCGACTGCGACAGAGCACCAGATGCCAAAACCATCATCATACCGATCCTTTTGTGGTTGCCATGCTCATTAAATACTCAGAACCCTGATGTAGTATTTATTACTTAAGCGGCACTTTTGTGTGATTCTGAATCATATCATGCTCCATTTTATCAATTGTTCCATTTGAGTTGATCTGAATTTGTTAATATGAGAAAAAAAGACAGAGATAGAGAGAGGGTAAATGAGGAGGTCTAACATTTTCAAAATCTATCCAATTGTCACATGTCTCACAGCTTATTCCCAATGATACTATAAATGAAAATGGCATTGGTGGATGGGCCAAGCACTACAGATTTATCCAAAACTGAACAAGACCAAAAAATTGTACAAACAAAGTAAATTGTTTCTTAACAGTTTAAACACTTTTTTTAACCAATGAGGCATAATGTTTTGACTTCTCTTTAGAAAAGATTTACTTTTGTACCATCACTTAACAAAAAAAAAATGAAAATATATTTTCCTGAAGACTAAAACAGTCAGAGTTAACAAATGCGACAAAATTTCAACATGATTTTTGGGGGGTTAAACAGACCAAATTGCACAAGACTATATAAAAACAGTATCACACAAACTTCTGATAACCATATTATTTTTATAGGACACTCATTTTAATAGTGAAGGTTTTGTATTGTTATGCCAAATTGCTACTGTCACATCAGGCCTAAGACACCATTCCCACAGATATTTAGATCAATCTATCCCCCTGGGGAGTCTCACTAGATTGCTGTCAACTTAATCGGCTTAAATGTCTGTCCCGCCTACTAAAAGCTGTAAGTGGGTAATTAACTTTCTTGCGCACTGGGCTGACAGCAATTTAGCGTGAACCCCCAGGGAATTATGTCAATCCAGATGGATCGATTTAAATCTGTGGGAACCCAGTCTAAGGGACCATTCACAATGAATTTTGTCGAATTAGCTTACGCACACTAAGTCCACGGGGACTCACATTAATTGCAATCAGAATAACAGGGCTCCGTATCTCGAAAGGTTCACTATGTTGCGCACGTTCGTTAGTGTCTCGATTCCATAACTGATTCTATTTCGAGATACGGGGCCATGAAATCGAGACGCACTTGCACGTGTGCAACATAGCCAACCTTTCGAGATACGGAGCCCAGATCACTTAGCAGCATGCCTATGCCTGACATTGTGTAGAATATAGAAAAAGCTGGTGATTATATGAGGAACGTTAGTAAAAACTTTTGTGAGCAGTCCCTTACAAGAAGCAGAGCCACCAATATGACCTTCAATCAATCGTAAAAAGAATTGGATAAGTATTTTCAGCTTATCTTATCATATGTAAGGACATGCCCTACATTTTCTTGAATAATTATGATTTATTAAAATCAGCATGGTACAATAGAACAAAACTGTATAGGATTTAATGGAACATGAAATGCACATAATTTTGTAATTTATTTAAAAGAGCACGGCCTCCGAGAGATCTGATGCCTGTGATTATACACATTCCGTACATAAAACATGCTTGCAGACCTGGAAACTGCTGCTGAACATGTTGACTTCATAACAATTCAGTTGATGTAACAACAATAACATTTCTACTACAACGGCAGAACAAATATGACATGAACAACTATCAATTCAGAGATTTTTGTTGTACATGTACTAGTAAGCAGAAATCACAATGGAGCTGATCTCCTCATGCACTTTTTAAACACAGCTTACTAGTACACAAGTGTGCATGATTTATTGCACACAAACACATTGGTAAACACAAATGTGCCCACCCTTACACATGCACGCACCCATGCACGCACACACACACACACACACACACACACAAACACACACACAAAATCTATTCCTTTCCTTACAGAAATGGATATTTTTCCTCAACTTGATAACAACTAACGACCATTACACAAATGCTTGGATTACGTATATTTTCTAATTTTGACTGAGGACTTTTAAGAAGCTGAGTTTGAACATACAATTGTCAAAATGAATTCTTTTCTAATATGAAATAATAAGAATAAGAATAATACGTAGAAGGTGAAGAAGTCAGGGTACTATTAAGTTTTTCCTGCACTTTAACCTTCTGTGCATCATTGGTTAATAAATAAACACAAGCTGGGGCCTTCCATGACCCTTTCTGCATGCTTAATCGCGTTTTCTTCAAACTACTAGTATATGGAATCATTAATAATAGAAATAGAATAAAAAGGTTTTATCCTGTGAAAGGTCATGTCCTATGAAGGTGAACTTTGCAGAAATTTCCAGAAAGGTATTGATTGGGGGGTGCAGATTGTCCAAAATTACCAACTGTAATTTCCTACAAAATTTTAGGGAGTCCATGCCATCTATTTAAAAAAATTCATAAGCTGTCTTTGAAAAAATAGGCCGTCCAGTGATGCTGTTGGTCGACCAAATGATGACTGAAGAGTTTGTTAGGAAAAGCCTTGCTGAGAGATAAATGTTCTAGGCTAAACACAAGCATAGAAAAATTACACCAATGACTTCAGGTCATATATTATGTGAAAGGAAATGTTGAAATATTTTGCTACTTTAAAAAAAATTATTAGTGAATTTTCAGAGACATTTATAACCATGTGGCTAATGATTAAACATGAAAGATATACTAGTAGGCATATATGTATTAATGAAATTAGGTACACAAATTGATTACTAGTACTGTCCTAGTTTTTAAAATTAATCATGGTTGATAATAAGTTTAATATCAACCAAAGATAGCAAAAATATATATATCTATCAGGTATTAATCTTAAAAAATGAGGTCAATCTTTATAAAACAAAACCTCTGATTTCATCGTTAGTGATCTTGATTGATTTACTTTGATGTAAAATATTTCTAATTTTACAATTATTTCTTGCTTTTCAATTTTTGGTTGCACGTTATCAAAAAATAAATAAATAAATGAAATGCCAAATGTAACATATCTGATATACTGGTATCTCAAACCGATTAAAACACAAGATCAATGTCATAATGAGAAAAGCAGATTGTTCTCATATTTATCTTTGAGCCAACTTAATAGCTTTTATAAAAATTGGCCAATAATCAAGCAACTTCACACATAGTCAATTATTACAAATCTGTTGCATTTTGAATAATAGAAGATGTATACTGTCATGCCTCAGCTATCTTCGGCATGAAAAAAACAATTTTGAAACTGACTTTTCTACCTTCAGTTCCAAAAGACTGTGAACAGCTGACACTCACAAAAACTCTTTGACTGATTACATAAATATACTTTAAAAAATGCAATAATTGCTACAGATATTAAGTTACAGTTAAAATGAACTATAAAACCAACACTGTTACACTTATTTTGAACTTTAAACAAATAAGTAAAGCTATTGATAATACTGGCAATTAATAATAATTATAAGTACATGTACTCAGTACATACAAATACCGGGGTAAATACACAAATTTCATGTAAAATATTTTTAAAAGCATTTCATTTTCCTCCATTTTCATTCCATATGTTTGTTTGTTTTTGTTTTGTTTTTTTCAAGTACCTTGAAAGCACAAGCACTCTGACTCATTTTCCTACCCATAAAAAACACCAGTATCTTTTAGTAATCATCAGCTGACTAGGTAATGAAATTGTCTGCATATTTAACAGAATCTGTCCATACCAAAGTCACGGTTTTATAACCAATTCATTAATAAAAGAGTGATTGTGCAAATTCTTTTATCTTTCCATCAGCAACAATAAAATAATTTGTAGAAAGTTCACCAATAAAGTTGAGTGTCACTTTCCTCCAGGAAGTTTTAGTGTCAAAGGGGGAGGAGGGAGCAAAGTGGCACAGTTGATATTATAACATCCCATGCATATTCTCGTCTTATATTTCCATTTCCTAAAGGTTTTAACTGCGCTAAAATACAAAACGCGTCTTCCAGGGCGTTCTAGTGTCAAGGAGTGAGCGAAGTGGCAAAGATATGATGGGGTATATTTATTTAAATCCCACATTTTGTTTAAAATCTCTGTTCCCAAAAAGCTTAAAATGCGATTTTGATACAAAATATGCCTGTAAAAGTACCTGCAGAGGCTTTTAATTCAAAACAAATATTTTTTAAAAAATAAAATCAAATGCGGAAATTGTCACCTTGAGCCTGCCTCCGCCAGAAGTNGATAAATGTTCTAGGCTAAACACAAGCATAGAAAAATTACACCAATGACTTCAGGTCATATATTATGTGAAAGGAAATGTTGAAATATTTTGCTACTTTAAAAAAAAAATTATCAGTGAATTTTCAGAGACATTTATAACCATGTGGCTAATGATTAAACATGAAAGATATACTAGTAGGCATATATGTATTAATGAAATTATGTACACAAATTGATTACTAGTACTGTCCTAGTTTTTAAAATTAATCATGGTTGATAATAAGTTTAATATCAACCAAAGATAGCAAAAAAAAATATATATATATCAGGTATTAATCTTAAAAAATGAGGTCAATCTTTATAAAACAAAACCTCTGATTTCATCGTTAGTGATCTTGATTGATTTACTTTGATGTAAAATATTTCTAATTTTACAATTATTTCTTGCTTATCAATTTTTGGTTGCACGTTACCAAAAAATAAATAAATAAATGAAATGCCAAATGTAACATATCTGATATACCGGTATCTCAAACTGATTAAAACACAAGATCACAGTCATAATGAGAAAAGCAGATTGTTCTCATATTTATCTTTGAGCCAACTTAATAGCTTTTATGAAAATTGGCCAATAATCAAGCAACTTCACACATAGTCAATTATAACAAATCTGTTGCATTTGAATAATAGAAGATGTACACTGTCATGCCTCAGCTATCTTCAGCATGAATAAAACAATTTTGAAATTGACTTTTCTACCTTCAGTTCCAAAAGACTGTGAACAGCTGACACTAACAAAAACTCTTTGACTGATTACATACATATACTTTAAAAAATGCAATAATTGCTACAGATATTAAGTTACAGTTAAAATGAACTATAAAACCAACACTGTCACATTTATTTTGAACTTTAAACAAATATGTAAAGCTATTGATAATACTGGCAATTAATAATAATTATAAGTACTCAATACATACAAATAAATACACAAATTGGATGTAAAATATTCTTTAAAAAGCATTTCATTTTCCTCCATTTTCATTCCATATGTTTGTTTGTTTTTGTTTTTTGTTTTTTTTTTTCAAGTACAATGAAAGCACAAGCACTCTGACTCATTTTCCTACCCATAAAAAATACCAGTATCTCATAGTAATCATCAGCTGACTAGGTAATGAAATTGTCTGCACATTTAACAGAATCTGTCCATACCAAAGTCACAGTTTTATAACCAATTCATTAATAACAGAGTGATTGTGCAAATTCTTTTATCTTTCCATCAGCAACAATAAAATAACTTGTAAAAAGTTCACCATTAAAGTTGAGTGTCACTTTCCTCCAGGAAGTTTTCGTGTCAAAGTGGCAAAGTTTATATTATAACATCCCATGCATATTCTCGTCTTTCTCGTATTTCCATTTCCTAAAAGTTTTTACTGCACTTAAATACAAAACGCGTCTTCCAGGGCGTTTTAGTGTCAAGGAGTGAGCGAAGTGGCAAAGATATGATGGGGTATATTTATTTAAATCCCATATTTTGTCTAAAATCTCTGTTCCCAAAAAGCTTAAACTGCGATTTTGATACAAAATATGCCTGTAAAAGTTCCTGCAGAAGTTTTTAATTCAAAATAAATATTTTTCAAAAAATAAAAGTAAATGCGGAAGTTGTCACCTTGAGCCTGCCTCGGCCAGAAGTCGGGCGACAGGATTCCCTGGCTGTGGGACGGAGGTACCGAGCAACAGTGGGGTGCCTTCGTTCGCCGCTTCCGACTCATCGTGGATAAGAGACATGGACGCACAGCGGTGTCGGGACCCTGGCCGGGGTCTTCCTAGCCTCGGTGAGCCGCGTTCCGGCATTTTGGGCGAGCAAACCGAAAGTTTTTTTAATTATAAGCCTCACTTCAAGTTCATCGCTTGTTTACCCTCGTGCCAAAGTGAAATGAGGTCAAGTTGTTTGAATGGGTAAAAAGATAACCTCTGATGCTATGACGTTAAAAATGTTATATTTCTTTGCAGCAGGGAATTTTCATTGTTTTTTTGATACTATGAAACAAATCTGTTCTTTTTACCTTTGCTCTATAGAGCGTATTTGTAGCATGCAATTTTGAATCAAGTCCTTAAGTCATAAAAATATGTATCTGTATAACCTGATTTCAGGTGCATCGGCACAAAGTTAATACCTATTTTCTCGCGTCACATGACAGAGGCGGATGAGTGCAGATAATAAAAATGGTGAGTTTTAGCTTTAATAAGTGACCGATAGCTATTCAAGGAGGGTAATCGCTTCATTCAGTTCTTAAAGTTCAATATTTTGGTGTTAAATTAGGTTATTTTTGTTTATAATTGGATTCTTATGGCCCAATATCGGGGGCAGTTCTCATGGACGTGCTTTGCATTTTATGCCCATGGTCATAGTATTTATTCTTTGAGTGTGACTAATGTTTGTTGTTCTGTTGTTGTTGTTTTTCACAAAGTGTGCAGTGTGATAGTCCTCGAAGACAATTCAAAGTACGTCCTCCATTTTATCAATTTTGGTCATCAAGAGGAAAACAATCAGATTTTCTTAACCATTTAATTTTTTTTTAATTTTAAAATACATATATTATATCTCACCTTCATATATCACTCATATTTCACTCTGTTTTTTTCCAGTACATTATCTTAGAATTAGAATTATCGTCATAGCATATTTAGAACATTTTCACTCCCCACCTTTTATCTTTTACATTACATATACAAATAGACTGCCAGTCTATTTACATTGTACCTTGTACCATATAGTGACTTGGGACATTTATAGCTCAGTGTCAACTTACATGTGTTTCACTACATCCAAAGTCCAGTTATAAATAGTGTACCATAGTTGCTTTAGCTGGTTACTTTACAGGTACAAAATGTTGCAAACTTTGAGATGGAAGAAAACCACAAAGAAACAGATTCACATATACGATTCAAATATGGAAGTGCACACGCAGACACATGCACATACACATGCACACACATACATACACACACGCACACTCAGAACCCCCTTGTTTACTTAAGGGTAATATTGATTAATTCATCTTTTGAATTTAAATCCTCTGGTGTAGTCGGCTAATTATATTCAAAATATTTCCACTTTCAGTCCTATGATGATGAGGATGGGTATGGCTATAGTGTAGTCGGCTCATTTCCTAAAGATTTTGGCTATGGCCCCGATGACACAGACAGTGATGCCGTGGGCATTGTGCCCACGGAAAATAAACCAAGAATTTTACTTATGGGACTACGGAGGTGAAGTTTATTTTTGTTTTATAAAGCAGGTCTATAAGTCATGGATTAATTCTTGTACATTTTCTCTTCTTCTGACTTTGGCTAATGAGCAATTTTTGCCACAGGTTTTGTAAAGTGAAGACTGTATGAACGTTTGTATAGACCTGCTGATGTCCAGATTTGAAATAAAAAAATTAAAGCACAGTGAGCACTATTATATGGCAGCATATAATAAATATAAAGTGTAAGTGCACATATTGGTTTGTTAAGAGTACATTGTGTTGGTTGTGACAACACATTGTTTCAGATGTGACTGCCAGTTGTGTTAGATGTGACAGTATATTGTGGGTGTGTAAGGTGTAACATTGTATTGTGTTAGATGTGACAACACATTGTGTTAGATGTGACAGTATATTGTGGGTGTGTAAGGTGTGACATCAGATTATATTAGATGTGACAGTACAATGTGTTAGATGTGACAGTGTTTTTAGCAATATGACTTTTGCTCTGGCACATTGTGTGTTGGTTAAGTTAATGTCCTCTGTCTCATCACCCTCACTTAATCCACTTTATCACAATCATGATCTTGTCTCTTGCAGGAGTGGGAAGTCCTCCATTCAGAAGGTTGTATTCCACAAAATGTCTCCAAATGAGACTTTATTCCTAGAGAGCACTAACAAAATTGTAAAAGATGGTAGGTTGTTCTTCCATCTCTCTCTCTCTCTCTCTCGATGCTATGATGCCTTCATCAGTACTTCACATGTCTCTCTCCATTTCATTGAAGTACATGAAACAGCTTAAAATTTACACATTGTTAGTTTTTCTTATTGTACCTAGAAAATCAATATATATATACAGACAGAAAAGCAACACGACACAAATATAACTCTCACTGTTACTTTCCCTAACTGAGTTAATTACTAGTTCTAATGATCCTGAAGACTGGTATTCTGCTAAGGTATAGCCTAATAAATTCTAATTGTTTTCCAGATATATCAAATAGTTCCTTTGTGCAATTCCAAATCTGGGACTTTCCTGGACAGATTGATTTTTTTGATCCCACATTCGACTCCGAGATGATCTTTGGAGGGACGGGAGCTCTGATCTTCGTAATTGATGCTCAGGTAATTGGGACACCATGCAAATAATTGATGAATAGATGGCTGGGACAGTGTGCAGATATGTGGCTGGTTTTACTAAGAAAGTTAAGACACAAGTTGGTCGGAACTTAAGACTAGATTTTGACCTAATTTGACCCATGCTGATTTAGTGGCTCACTCTATTAAGGACATTAGCCTTGCTTTACAGAGAGAAAGAAATTGCAAATGTTTAAGATGGACATTTCAGCTGGTTTATTATAGTCGTCTATTTGCTAACAAACAGAGATTAGTAAGGCATAACTAAGTCCTGTTGGCAATTTGTGTTTGTTTTAATACCAAAAAAATGAAAAAAAAAAAGAAACATAAAAAAATTTTTTGGAGACAAATAAAAAGTACACCTCAGAAAAAGTTAAAAAAAAAAAACAGTACAATGTTTCATTTACTCTACTATAAAAGAAAGATTTCTTGTAAGGTGTAAAAGTATTTGTATCTGAAAATGAACATAAACCAATCAATTGCAATGTTTCATTAACTGCTGCCCTGGTTTCATTTACTGCAGGATGACTACATGGAGGCACTGGCTAAGCTCCACATGACAGTGACCAGAGCCTACAAAGTAAACCCAGATATCAAGTTTGAGGTGTTCATTCACAAAGTAGATGGGTTATCAGACGATCACAAGATAGAGACACAGAGAGATATTCATCAACGGGCGAACGATGATCTGGCTGATGCGGGGCTGGAAAATTTACATTTAAGGTAGAGTTTCGATTTTGTTTTTCATGAATTTAAATTAGCTAGAGATTTCATACTGTCAATATCCTTATCTTTAATTAATCGAATATAGAATTTCATTAAATTTTATGTTATATATATATTTGTAAGGCACTGCATAACGTAAGTTAATCTCCTTTCTAAATTTTTTCTTTAAACGAATAATATTCACATACAGTACATTTCAGCTTTTTGAACATGTGGTTATGTAGTGCATTTGTTACATCCAATGCATGTATGTTAATAGATTTTTTTATTCTGTGGCTTAAATAATTTTTTTTTATATTCCAGTTTTTACTTGACAAGTATATACGACCACTCCATATTTGAGGCGTTCAGTAAAGTGGTGCAGAAACTTATCCCACAGTTGCCAATACTGGAGAACTTGCTCAACATTCTCATTTCTGTGAGTATTTTACTGTGACTTGGCCACATTTAACCATCATGATAATGTCCAATACATACATGCATCATATTGTCTTCCAGAGATATCAAATAGTTCTTTTGTGCAATTCCAAATTGTTACTTTCCTGGACAGATTTAGTGTCACAACTTACACTGTCACATCCAACACAATGTCACCTCTAACACACTGTTACACTTAATGCACTGTCACATCTACCAAACTGCCACACTTAACACACTATACCACCAAACACACTGACACATCTAATTTTTTCTCACCTAACACACTTTTGCATCTGACTCACCTCCATGGTCATGGCCTGTGCTTATTCCCATGGCTTCTTATGTTATGGCATATGGTATAAAAATGAAAATTTTTCATACTTCCAGAACTCTGGTATTGAGAAAGCTTTCCTCTTTGATGTTGTAAGCAAGATCTACATCGCCACGGACAGTTCTCCAGTGGACATGCAGAGTTACGAGTTGTGTTGTGACATGTTAGACGTAGTCATTGACATTTCATGTATATATGGGTAAGAAAATTTTGGATGTGAATGTCATAGGGGTTGCAAAAATATTTCCTCATCTGCAAACCTTTACACAGAAACACCCATTCCTGCAAGCATGCACAAATGCATGCACAGTCGGCATGCATGCATACATGCAGGTATATACACACGTGCGCTGGCACGTAGGCATGGACAATTTATAATTATAAAGTTTTGATCTAACACCAGGACCCATTTTAGTTATGAGGTGCTCTTAATTCATTCTATCAAGAGAACTCTGAAGCAGCACTGCGAATTCTCTTTTGGATATAAGACCAGAAAATATGCCCCGCCCCTTCTTCTTGATCCTCAATTCACCAGTACTAGTATGTTAATAGTAATTTTAAGTCTTAAAATCTTAGACAAAGTGATAATAGTTTTAATATTTGTAACGATAATTCCAGTATGGGTGAGGATCCCGAGGCCAACCCGTTTGACAAGGAGTCTTCCTCCCTTATAAAGTTGAACAATGCCACGGTGTTGTACCTGAGAGAGGTGAACAAGTACCTGGCACTGGTCTGTATACTGAGAGAGGATAGCTTTGAGAAACAGGGTGAGTATGGGGGGCAATTTTGGGAAACAGGGTGAGTAGGGAGGCATCTTTGAGAAACAGGGCTCCGTATCTCGAAAGGTTCGCTATGTTGCGCACGCGTGTTAGTGTCTCGATTCCATGACCGATTCTATTTCGAGATACGGGGCCATGAAATCGAGACTCACTTGCAGGTACGCAAGCGAACCTTTCAAGATACGGAGCCCAGGGTGAGTATTGGGGGGGGGTTAGAGAAGACAGCTTTGAGAAACAGGGTGAGTATGGGGGGGTTTATAGAATATGGCTTTGAGAAACAGGGTGAAGAGGGGGGCATCTTTGAGAAATAGGGTGGATGGGGGGTTAGGGAGGAACGCTTTGAGAAACAGGGTGAGTATGGGGGGCAATTTTGGGAAACAGGGTGAGTAGGGAGGCATCTTTGAGAAACAGGGTGAGTAGGGGTATTTCACCATATATATTTGAAGAAAAGCTGCATGAGACCTCTTTTTGTTGACATTTCAAATATCATAGACTACAGCAGCAGCATTGTGTTTAAAAAGATTTTTGGAAAATTCAACTTAGTTAATTAGTGTTTTGACAATATTTCAAATTTCACATAATAATTTTATTCCACACCAGCTTAATCTCCTTTCCGTGCCTAAAATAGATATTTTCCATAAAATCTCTCCATTATTTTTATTATACATTCTTTTCCTTAACATTACAGGTATAATAGACTACAACTTCCATTGTTTTCGCCAAGCCATTCAGGAGGTGTTTGAAGTACGAACCAAAGCCACAACACAACAGCACGGCGCTGCCGCCATGAACTCCACGGCCATGTTACAAGACTCGATGCAAAGTAATGGAATATCAGAAAGACCCCACTGAGATATATAGGAAAAATATGGATGGCAAAATAAATGCCACCGACTTAGTTGAATGAATGAGAGTTTCTGGATATCGAAGAGTTAAATGAAAGAATTTGACAGGAAGATAATGGAATTGTTCATGAAAAAGATCTCGCGGAGATAGAAGAGTCTGTTTACAGAAAGAAATCAGATTATATGTAAAAGAAATATTACCATGTTAAACAGACATATCCTGTGATACATGGAATTGCCTGAGAGAGAGAGAATGAGTAAGACAGAAACCTTGCTGATGTAGGAGAAATACTTTTTACTGCAGTATATGGAATTGCATATGAAACATATTGCAGATGAAGAAGAGGTGCATCACTGAAATCTGATGAATTTGGTGTATGAGCGAGATCTTACAGTTGTACAACAAACATTTTGTGATAAGTGAAAACGTGTATGAAAGAGATCTTGCAGATAAAGAAAAAATGCATCCAGAGAGAACTGTCTATGGCAGAGATCTACACAGGTAGAGGAGAGATGATTCACTGTAGTAGAGTGAATTATTTATATCAGAGAAATCCAAATAAAGCATGAAAATGACTGGGAAAAGTTTTCCAAGTTTTAAGGACTCCACAAAAATAAGCCAGAAAACACAGGTCAAGTTGGATCCTGTAGGTGGTAGATGATTCATGCCATAAGAGAGGAAATTTCTGTGTCTGCGATATATAAAAAAAACTCCCATGTCCACTGTATAGTTCTATAATATGAAGTAAAAGCAGTACAATAGTTGTGTAGAAATATGATTTTTGCAATTATAAAATTGTGTATCTGAAAGTTTGATAATTTTTGCCCATTGAAAAAATCCTGTAATTATATAAGGGAAGGATTGAGATCTTTAATATGGAAAAGGGTTATGTTTGAAAAATCTCACCAGCTATACATGTGCTGGAGTTCTCTGACGTCGTGTGATAGTTTGAAAACATACAGAGGAAACTGTACGATGATATAGTTACAAGTAAGACTGAAATGAATTTAATTAAAGAAAGATTTTTAATGAAAGAATATTATAAGATCAAGTTATGTAATTGTTTGAGTATTATTCTAGACTAGTAGAGGTGGTGTATAAATGTGCATGGGAAAAATGGAATAAAAATGAAGAGATCCATCATAGATAAGAAACAATATTCTCGTAGAAAAACTTGAGTTTTATATGGAGAATACTATGGAGATGACACTTCAGTGTGCTAGTTTTCTTCAACTGAAGCTGAAAAAGAAAAAACTATTATAATTTATATAATTATTTCTTTATTTTTCTTCATTTTATTGAGCTCTTCCTTGTCATTTCATTTCAAGCACGAGTAATAACTGATAGATTATTGTCAATTTCTTGTATTGTTGAAGAAAATATTTTTCTTCAGATTTACTTCTGATGAATCCAATTTTGTAAAGTATCCAATGGAAATTGTCTGAGATAGCCAAAAGTCTCGCGAGACTGGGCAAAGTCTCGCGACTTATTTATGATTATGTATACCAACCTTTGTATTTTGATGTAGCATATTAAAACGATGGTTTGGCAGGAACGGCAGAAGTTTGTACGTGTGCTGTTCTCTTTGTAAATAATACGACCAATGTGATTGGCTAATTCGTCCAGTTTTTTTTCCTCCTTGTGTGGTAACTGGTGATTGGATGTGGGCCATATGATGTTAAATGTGTCATTATTATTATTGAAAACGTATCTAACTATAGCGTTTTATGCATACATGTATATTTAATCAAAACATTATGTAAAAAATTTTAATATTGCACATGTATCAGAAACTTATGTATGCTATAATATTTTGAAATCTGAAACATCTTTAGCGTTGTTATGTTACGTTATGTTATGCGGGTGTAGAGCTGTGTTTTCTAAGCAAACCCATTATGCAACCAAGCATTTTTGTAAGTCACTGAAACAGTTTGGAGAAGAGAGCTATAAGTAGGTCAGAGATGTGGTTACTGGAACATTAACGCCATGCACCGAATCGGGGACGGGGGTGTAAGGAACTTGCTACTTCTTCGAATTGAAAAACCTATAATCGGGAAATTACGATGGTCTTTAAGAAACTATATACGACTAGGGGGATATCCGGGGGTGGGTTTTTTTTTCACATTGACCTTGACAAGCCATTAATTGGACAACTATTTGGTCTACGGTCCTCAATTTATGAAGGGGTTTCATCATTACACGCCGATGTCTCTTATTGATTTGAAGGTCAAAGGTCAAGGTTGCCTCAAGAACATTAAGGAAAATCTTGTCCGACCAATAAATAAAAAATTATTTTCTCTCTTGGGGGCCATCTGTGTTCGACAAACGCTTCTTCACAAAGCTTGTTTGGACTTTCTTAACAGTTGCCGTTTGCATACTTCTGTATCCGGTTAATCTGAAAGATAACTTCCGTTTGTTCCAAAATCAGGCCTACCCAACTACCAGACTCGGCACCTAAGGATCCTGAATTAACCGGTATATCGGACCACGCTACCCGTTTTCAAGGTGTGTGTCAGATCGCATTTCGGAGTATCAGCCAGAATACCGACAGGATGAGCCCTGGCATGCTCGGCTGTCACCTTGATTGGATAGTAAACGATTGTCGTAAAATTGCTATATGATTTTAAAACCGGGTGCATAAATTTGAAAGCCACCTAGATGAACCTTAGACTGCCACATTAATCTAATACAATGCAAAAAAGCCCTATCAAAAGTGGTTAAAACATTTAAACCGAATGTCGTAAAGTCCCCATATATCCCCATAGAGACAATAAAATAGAGTACTCTTAAGTAAGAGTACAGTTTAAGGTTGTTCAGCCGAGCGTGGATGAGCCCGCAGTCGTGCTACAAAATTTGTTCTGGGGTATGATACTCCGAAATGTGATCTGACACACACCTTGAAAACGGGTAGCGTGGTCCGATATACCGGTTAATTCAGGATCCTTAGGTGCCGAGTCTGGTAGTTGGGTAGGCCTGAAAATGATTTTGCTACATGTGACAGGTTTTTCTTAATTAACTTGGAACATTGAATTTTGTGATTGAATTTTCACTCGATATTTACAGGTATGTCTCTGGTTAAATTGACGGTCATTATCCGTACTGTGATTCCTCAGAGAAAATGTCAACATAATAATAACTGCGGACCTGGTGGTGGGTAATAAAATGTGCCCAGACTGTTTGCATATAGGCTTATTTAAAACCAACGTGCACAGAATTATGATTTTGGTGTTTCTCAAATTTGATCAGGTTTGATCAAACGAGCAATTTAATGAGTTTAACAAAGAAAATTAATATTTCGCTTTAAACGCCGATATTTCATCATTAAGACAATTTTGCGTAGTCAAATCGCGACGGAGGCTTTTCCAATCTGCCCTCAATCTATTTAATCAACTCTCTCTAAAACGAAAAGTCACACTCCTATGGGCGGCGGTTTATACAAAAATGCAAAACACGATTAGTCGTCATCGTTATCAGATCAGTCGAAATGAAAACACGATTAGTCGTCGTCGTTATCAGATCAGAAGGCAAAATACGACTAGTAGTCGTCAAAACGCAACTAGTCATCAAAACGCAACTAGTCATCAAAACGCAACTAGTCATCATCAAAACGCAACTTGTCATCAAAACGCGATTTGACGCCAGATGGCGCCCATTGTACGAAAATCTAGGCCAAGTCACATGATCCACAGTGATCAAAATGGCGGACGTTATTGAAGCAGCATTATCATATTCCTCGCTCGAACTCGAGAATTATCTCTACGCGTACAATCTAATAATGATATTATATATATAATAATATCTGGAACTTGTGAAATGAGTACAACAATAAAGCAGTGCTTCACAAGTGTGTGTTTTTGTTTTTTTTTAATTTATAACATGTCCAAATTATTTAATAAATTATTTAATTATTTATTATTTCGAGAATTATCTCTACGCGTACAATCTAATAATGATATTATATATATAATAATATCTCGAACTCGAGATAATTCTCGAGTTCGAGCGAGGAATATGATAATGCTGCTTCAATAACGTCCGCCATTTTGATCACTGTGGATCATGTGACTTGGCCTAGATTTTCGTACAATGGGCGCCATCTGGCGTCAAATCGCGTTTTGATGACAAGTTGCGTTTTGATGATGACTAGTTGCGTTTTGATGATGACAAGTTGCGTTTTGATGATGACTAGTTGCGTTTTGATGACTAGTTGCGTTTTGATGACTAGTTGCGTTTTGACGACTACTAGTCGTATTTTGCCTTCTGATCTGATAACGACGACGACTAATCGTGTTTTCATTTCGACTGATCTGATAACGATGACGACTAATCGTGTTTTGCATTTTTGTATAAACCGCCGCCCATCACTCAGCAGACAACTTAGGAGCGACAGTCACGATGGAGTTTTTCGTTGACATCAAATTCATTTTAGTTTGTGCAACTTTACTCGCGGGGAATTGCCGCTCAGAAGAAACGCGCCTTTCCTCCAATATTTCCACAACTGCTGTGTCGATGCCCAAACAAGACAAACTGTCCTCGATGGATTTTTGACCATGACGGTCCAGCTTACCGACCTTAATCGCAAGGTGGATTTGATCACTGAGTCAAAAACTTCAGCACATTGCCAAGAAGGATGTTTAAGTCTAAAGACCGACCTGGATAAAGTGACAACCAGGCTGAACCACGTAGAATCGGAGCTGTCCACGCTTCTCCTCGAGCGCACCGTCCAACGCAATGAGATCCAGGTCCTGAAAACTTACACTTTTCCCAGCTTCTTCTGTGATAACCCCAAAAAACGAAGCAGAAGACCATGTCGACAGCTGTAGTCCCTGTTGATTAAACCGCCCAAACGTTTGCGCAATATTTTACATATTCCTGGAAGAAACGAAATCTGGCGAACTTCAAATCTCACTTCTGTGCTCAATTCCATCTATAAATGTTGAACCGCTCACACTGGCTTTCTTAAAATTTAAACAAGAACATTTAACTTTATAATTATCTACACATACTGATCAAATTTTCAGTATGAGACCCTGGGTGAAACTAACTCCAGCAGGAAGAAAGAAATGGAAGGAGCTCATTATTTTCAGAATGTTTTTACTTTCTTAACTGTATCCAGCTGTTTCATACTCGTGTCCTCAGTGTGGAAGATAATCGACAATTGCCCCATCTCTTGTGTCAAAATGTCAAACTTTTAATCTAGTTAAACTTACAACAAGAAAATACGTTATCTGTGTTTGCCCACAAATATTTAAACCCAAGTAACACAAAGATTTGTCTACGATGTCTCTCAAATTTCCTAACAATTTATACATCATAAGACTTAAATCAAACAGCAGGTTAATAACTGACCAAAGAATATTAATATTTCATTCGAACACCGGTATTTCGATGCAAATTCCGTAACAATTTGTAAATAACTAGATTTAAGCAAACACACAGTTAATAACTGACCAAAGATAGTTAATGTTTCATTTCAAACGCCGGTATTTCAATAATAAGACATATCTGTGGAGTCAAATCGCGACAGAGGCGCTTCCAAAAACTGTCTCTCAAATCTATTAAATTTAATCTCTCTAAAACGGCGGCTGCAGTTCAGCAGACGATTTTGTTGAGACAGTCACGATGCAGTCCTTCGTTGGCATCAAATTCATTTTAGTCTGTGCGACTTTTCTCGCGGGGAAATGTCGCTCAGAAGAAACGCGCCTTTCCTCCAATGTTTCAACGAACTGCTGTGTCGATGCCCAAACAAAACAAGCTGTCCTCGACGGAATTTTGACCATGACGGTCAAGCTTACCGATCTTAATCGCAAGGTGGATTTGATCACTGAGTCAAAAACTTCAGGGCAATGCCAAGAAGGATGTTTAAGTCTAAAGACCGACCTGGATAAAGCGACGAGCAGGCTGAACCACGTAGAATCGGAGCTGTCCACGCTTCTCCTCGAACGCACCGTCCAACGCAATGAGATCCAGGCCCTGAAGAAACAGGTGGCGCTTACTTCATCCTCGTCATCCCGTCATGTAAAACAGTATGTTTGGAAATTCCATGGCTATTCCGAGGATAAAGGCGTCATTAAGGTAATTATTTTACCTTTTTCTTTAATGCTTATCTACTTATTATAGTTAAGTATTTTGTCTTCTACTAGTGGGTAACAAGATATCTAATTTGAAATTCAACCAAGTTGTGACAAAAAATGGCTCCTAAATCATTTTTTTTTCTGATACGTGGCAATTCTCCTTTCTTCATTGGAGATGAGTGTATTTTCCATAAAACATGTTGTCAATATTTGCAGAATTTACATTAATAATCTAACCATTAAAAATTTGTTGCAGCTGTCTCGCGTAGAATGAATGGTTTAGTGTGTTCGTAACCTCGAAACTGTACAACTACCAGTTAATGGGTGGCGGTTTGGTTTGATTTAATGAACTTTAAGTTTTTCTTTCAGACCGTGTCCTTCCCCAAAATTGACAACTCGAGCGCTCTTTGGGTTCAGTGGGACGGTAATCTACGTGTCTATTTGCCTGTGGGGACACCCCATAGCTGCAGCAGGTGGTTCTTCACTATTGACGGTCAGGAGTGTAAGGACCCGGACACACTGGATGCCGTGTATTACGTACATGTTGATACGAGCACTGCGCCTTACAACGTTCACAACCCTAGCTCATGTAAGTGAGGTACTTAATAGATAGATAGCGTATAGAGAGAGGTGTAGCAACTGCACAAAGAGATCAAATCACAGAATAAAAAAGAATGTAGG